GAATTTGTGCCCAGTTACAGCCTAAAAATAAAGAAACACAGCAGTGAATATATGAAGTGGTTAATTTACATAGAAATGAGATATTAACCAAATGTGCATGTCTGCCCCTTGTTTTTAGTGCATAGAACTGTAATCTGTAACTGCACAGATATACAGTAGTATCCACTATTAAAACACAGTGTATGGTCGAAAAACTACTGTATAAGAAAACAGCCCCTAGTTTTTTTTGCTACAAATAAAACATCTTACAGTTCAACAGCTTAAAGGGACATCTGGACAACTGTTGAAATGTTTACTTTCTTTCAGAGTTAGATGAGAAGCTCAGTTGAGCCTGATCTGTGTCTTTATGGTAGATATGAAGCTGGAGCCAGCTTTATATTTGTTAAAGGGAGTGATGTAGTGGAGGTCAATGTGTTGTACAATACAGAATGTAAACAGGAGAAATGTTTTTTTTTCTTTTTTTCAGAAATGAATAGAATGATGGGAAAATGCTAGATGAGTGATTGCACTAAGATACACATGCTAATGGATGCTAACCCAGATGTCATCACCAGGTATCAGGTAACTGACAGAGACTTCTAGTCAAAGATAGACATAAACCCCCAAATAGACCCGAGGTTTTGCTTTTACACAAGGTTTCTATACAGATGAAGCAAATGAGTTATAATATCTTAATTATTGAGCTTTAAAGGTGCTGCTAGGCACCAGACTGTTTCCACCTGCTTACATTTGTGTCAGGATTCTGTCCTACTGCTTCCTGTTTTAGGCTCTTATTTTGTCGCCACTTTCTCTTCTAGGTTCATCTCTGTTATGGACTCTTTATAGTAATCAGTGCTCATTGCCTACACCTGTTTTCATCCCATTATAAGCAGCTTTCCCCCCCCTTGTAACCTGCAAGATTGTTCTTGACTCTGTGCAGACTTTCCAGCGTTATCCTTGCTTTATTGATTCGTGTTATTGACCCCGGATTGTTTCCTGACCACCGATTTCTGCCTAGCCCTCCTCATTGTTGTATGTTTACTCTGTGTACCAACTACTGGACCGGCTTCCTTGACCTCCTGTTTTGGATCCCTTGGTTGTGTTCGTTTGCCAGTATTGACCCTGGACTGTTGTGTGATCCACCTGCTTACATTTGTTGTGCTAAGTTAAATTAATCAGCTGCTGCTCCAGCTACAGTTTTACTGTAGAGACATGAGAGTGGTGTCAGTCTTCACATTTAGCTCTTGGCAAGAAGGTAAATAAATGTGTTTCCCAAAATGTCAAACAATTCCTTTACAGCTGGGGTTGCACATACTGTACCACAGAGCTGGTGCTGGGACCTTTATTATATGGCTCACCTGTAATGATCACACTATGTGCATCTTTCATTTTCTCAATCGAGTGAAAATTATTTTTTTCTGATACTAACTTCACAACTATCAGGCAGATCATTAGCACACACGCAGAATCTTAGCTGACAATGGCTAGAGAAAAGACCCCTGAAAAACTTGAGGTCCTACTGTATTTCTGTAAAAGGCATATTAATTTAATATGTATATGAGCTTAGTGTCACTTACATCTGCTCAAACTCGGTTTTCCAAAATTGCACTTGGCCACAGCATAATTATCCATCCGCCAGCGGTCCACACAGTCCAAATACTCCGTCTCACCATGGTTTATATATTTAACTCCAGCAGGCTTTAAATCCTGATTTGAGTCAGTGTTCACAGTACAGTAGAGACCTGCACAAAAAGAAATAAGAAATGAATTGTTTTCCCACCAAACTCCTTTAAAATAAAAGTCAGTAGGGTTGACTTGTTGATACCTTTGCAGGTGGGTACTTGTGACCACTTGCCATTGCTGTAACACATCACTTTCTCTGGACCCACTCGTGTGTAATGGAGATTGCACTGGTATTTCAAAAACATTGGATTGGTTTCTACTACATCACCATTTTGAATGTTGGGGTGTTTCCCACAGTTGTCAACTGAAGTTTCTGAAAACAAACATTTCAGGATGTAATAGCAGACTTAATAAACTCAAAATTCCACCCAACATTTTGATTTCCTCCTTCCTTTATTGTGACTAATGAACCCAGTCTATTTCCAAATTACATAGGAAGGTCAATACTAAAGATTCAGCCTCGAATTATGTATAGTTAAGACAGACGAGTTGTAATAACTTTTGTCCTGTACAATGAAATAGAATAAAAATCATTGATGGTTTGAGATATTATCTGGCACATATGATGAAAAAAGTACTTGTAATGATTGGAGGTTCAGTCTCTCTCTCCTCAGTTCCAGAGCTGGTAGAAGATTCTGTAAGACACAGAAGACACATCAGTTATTAGTCACTGGCTACCTGTCACACTGCGATGTTGTTTGTTTATACAGTATGTTTAAAGCAGAACACTGTGGTTACTGCCAGTGTGACACAAAACACTGGTTTTACACAAATCATAAATGACTCCCAAATTAAAATGACTTTAGTTAAATACAAAGGTAAAATTATGACCATGTATGTTGCTAAAGTTACCAAAACAAACATGTTAGCTTTAGATGCTAACACATCCAGAAGGAAGAACATCACATCTGAGTCCTTTGGCTGGTTTTAAATGTTGTCCATCTCAAACTGATGTTAGAAATGTTACTTTTTATATTAATTATTTGTTTTCCCATATATTTGCATTTTGTTGTTGCACCCAGTTGCTGCCTGGATTATGTTCCCTACCAATGTTTCTTGTTAATGCTGGGTGATCATGTGTCATCAATTGTTCATATAGAAACATTGATTAGAGCTGATTTATTGCCAATTCATAAGAGTATTTTCATCACTGCACATCTCAGCAGTGTGCCCACTTACTGCACGTTGAGCCTATATTCCAGTTCCCAACTATGCACCACATGGATTTTTCACTGGGGTCTCCCGCTGCACTATATCCATCTTCACATTCATACTGCACTTCTGAATCTGTAGTAAACACCTCCTGGTAGCTCTGATTAATTATTACAGCATGGGGGATTTTAGGGGGTGCACTGCATGCCCAGATGCTTTCTGTAAAGAAGAAAAGAAATCATGAACAGGAACAGGTGTCTAGATAAAAAACTACTGTATTTGGTTGTTAGTCAGTGACATGAGGTTTAAGATTCTGGTCACAGTTATTGTTTCTTTTTCTGTATAAATAAGCACATTTTTCATCAACAAGAAAAAGTGAAGAAGTTAGCTGGTGATGTGCTTAAGATTTAATCACATATTATCTGGTCACTCTTACTATATTATTATTTTGGAGTAACACATTTGACAGACTTACTCTCACAGATGGGCACAGAGGACCATGTTGCATTTATACATCTGGCTATTGCATTATGGCTTTTGGATGTATATCCTTTGTCACATGTGATCCTTATTGTGTCTCCATTCTTATACCATCCATTTGGGTTTTCTCTGTATTTTGCATTGGGAATATTTGGTGGGAAGCATGAGTTTTCATCTGAAGCAAAAAGAACATAACTACAGTCAACAACTTTAATGAATGAATAATAATAATAATGATGATGCATAAAAATGCTATAATTAGTTGGAATCTCTCTCCACAAGATGAAGTCGGGAATAAATCAATTTAAGAGTGATATTTCTTTTTCAGGTTCATATGTGTAATTGTTAAGATGTTAAACAATACAGTATTTCACAAAAAAAATTAATAAAATAAACAACTTTTCTTATTTTTACTGGTGATCTTGGGGTCCTGAACACCAGGATTATTAAAAAAAAGCATAATATCAATTAAAGTTATAATAGAGGGTTATAGTCACAAATGACTTCCTTTGTAGAAATTGCAAAGCATGTGGGTAGTCCTGGGAGTTACTTAAAGGATAAGGCTGGTCATTATCTATTTTAACAGTATTTTCAGCACTCTCCATACAGACACTAAAACCAACAATAAAATGTCTCTACTAATGATTAATGTCTGTCAGTGTGTCAGTCTTGGATTATCTTATCCACATGTGGGATAGATCGCTGTTGTTATCCAAAAATGATTAATACACAACACAACACTGAAACACACTACTGCACTGGGTGACATTTTTTCATTAACAAATCTCTGCCCCGAGCATGAATAGTAATGTAATGTAAACAAAGCCAAGAGCTCATGCAAGAACTCGTACATGCGCAGTTCACTGACTTGTGCTAACTTCATGAAATTATGGCCTGTCAGAGCTTTTGGAGTAACATAGTCGGGTCTGGGGTTTCATTATGAAAAACCATGTCATCCAGTTCAGTGTTGTGTTACCCTGATGTGTTGTTAATCGTGTTTTAACAACATTAGATGTCAAATTGCACAGGCGAATGAGCTAATCCAGCTGACAGACATTAACCTTGTTGGTCTGAAGCTCTTGTATGGAGATTGCTGAAAATACTATCAGTATAGAAAATGACTGGCCTTATCCTTTAATATCTGAATATCAAAACGTTTGCTAAGGTGTAGCAACACATTTAATATTGATTTTTAACAATATTTAAGAGTATAATAAAAGTATTCAAACATTCCTTAATACTGTAGACAATATAAAACTCTAATTCTGTGTTATCATGTTTCAGATAAATATCTTAAGACAGATCAGGTTGAAAAAATTGCATGCAAAAAGAGGAGCATCGTGATGCGCCAATGTGAAATGCCATTTTTATGCTCCTGTTACTGTATTTAATCAATGAAATCATCTGATGTCTCATCATTTAATCTATTTTCGGTTTATCTTCTAAGTAGGCCCTATCGAGGTAAAAGATGACACTTATTAACAGCATAAACATAATGACACGACCACTTCAACTTTAAAGGTTTCAAATCACCCTCAAACAAACCCAGAAGACATATTTATGAAACACTTACCTATACATTGTGGTTTATGAGACCATTTACCATTTTGACATGTGGTGGTTACCCACCAACCCTCCACAGCTGGCTTATGTCCATTATCACAGGCATAAATTAGTTGATTTGTATGAGCATATGTTTTTTGTTCAGGAATAAAATAGCCACCATCCAGGATGGGAGCAGGACAAGACTTATGTTGTGCTGAAATTCAGTGATAAACAAAAGCACATAATAAACATATATTTAACAAATTAGGATGCCTCTAATGATACAGTTCTATGTTCTTACCAGAGAGCGCTCCAGGAAACCAAAGCAGCAGAACAAATCCAAGATGTCTCACACACATTTTGTCAGGAATTAAATCACTACCACAAACGAGCATGAAGAGCCTCACTCAGTCCAGTTAATAATTGTCGAGGGTTTTTCCCCAAAGAGCAAAGACATTACAAAATAGTAAATATTACAATGAGTTACCGTCAGCATGCTGTTGCTCAGAAACCAACACATTAAGAAACTTCATGTACCCAGGTGAATCACATTTAGCAAAAGTATCTCACTCAAAGGTTTCAAAGTTTTTTATGTAAACAATGTACACAAATCAGTACTATGTATACCACATTAGTACACACTGAAATGCTCACAATGATTGATTTGTCCCTACATTTTTTAGACAATGATTTCTAAACAAAAAAAATCTATGAGACTGTTTACAGGCCAGATTTCCAATTGATTTCCCACACGGCTGTGACTGAAAGTCAACACAGTGACATCAAGGAAAAAACTTTGGAAACAGAAGTGGAATTCTGTAAAGATACATTTAATTATAAACATGTTCCATATGGGATTATTAGCTTTGTGGTCACCGAGTTCTAGCTCAGACTGTGATTGCCATCAGGTGGGTCCTATGAGCTCTGCATCGGTTTATAGTCCTGCAACTAAAATTTTGTCAGAGAAGGCCTGTGCTTGTCATAGCAGGGTAAATTATCAATTTAATAATGGTTGAATTCAATTTAAGTTGTGTCATTTTCAGGATCCTGGTGTTTGCTGGGTCACTGTCACACTCATCATAAAACTGTAACCATTAAAGTGGGAAAGCCATGAACTGTGAGCCTTTTAACAAACTACAGATAACACTGTCAAATTTCATGGAAATGCATTTGATTATTTAGAGTCCAAATTTCAAACTGATTTACTGGACTGGTGTGATCAGAGGTCAGTCTTGTAACTTCCCAGATATAACCATTTATCCAGGCTTTTTTAAAAATTTTATTTCAGTTGGTTCTGAGAACATCACACATGTTCAATACAGATATACATGGATACTCCTAGATTATGAGAACGAGACTAGCAATCCACTATAAGAGTTGATATTTCAGCATTGTATAGTCTCAAACATGGTGTTGTAACAAGTATGTTGGGTGCATGTTTAAAACAACAGCTTTCCACAATGTAAGATCAAAGTTGTTCACAGCAAATCACTTTGGTGAAGTCCTTGAACTTACATATGTTAAACCTATACCTTGAAATATTCAGTCATGATCAAATGTAGAGCCTGAGAGTGTAACCTACATCAGCTGTCACTGTATTAAACTGAATTCTGTGAATTCACTGACAAGCTGCACTCATTTATAATACTTTGTCTTGAGAAAACATATTTTTATGTCTTATTTGCCATTTCTCATTTTGTGAAAACTCTATAGTTGCAATTTCCAGGAAGAATGTAATAATAGAATATAAATCATATATTCTGGATTTTCTGGGGAGAGTAAGATTAGTTATTCAAAGCAAAGTAATTTAAAACATGCCTTGATCAGATATTTAAACAATCAAATATAAATATTTTGCCAGGGGAAAGCTGAACTTTTTGAAAATCCCATGGTTGCCACATGTTTCTTGTGCAATGGCCCATTTCTATTGCATCACAATAAATCAAACAGCTGCCACATTTGCAGTTACACTACAGTGCAACAAATAAAGGGATACACATAGCTACAAAGGCCTATTAAGAACACTAACTGGTTGGTTGCCCCACCACTTTGGTCCAAACTGAAATATCTACAACTACTGGATGGATCACCATGTTGTACTGACATTCATGGTCCACAAACGAAGAATCCAACAGACTCTGTGATCTGACGCTCTTGTTTCTCTTCATATTGTACAAATCTTTCACCTTTTACTAAAGATTTCCATGGAGAGGAACAACTACAGAAATAACCCAATTTTTGATGCCCTGCTTAAATGCGGGGTTAAAGAAAAAAAACAGTTTGTGATCGCCTAACTTTTCCCATAGGACCACTATGAGTTTCCCATTGCGTTTGTAAGTGATATACCTCCACAACTATTTAATAAACAGCTAAGAAGTTTTATTATATTGTAATTTGTGTTATCATCTGATCAAACTATCAATTTACATCACCACATCCCTGCAAAACTGGCATTCACAAAAGTCTCAGGTGTACTTTAATGTTTTAGTGCTAATGTTAGAATGTTAAAATGCTAAACTAAGATGGTGAACATGGTAAACATTAGCTTGTTGACACTTGTTGACATTTTGGTCAAACAAACACTTTGTTCCAGATTAAGATATTTCAAAATATGTTCGATTGCCAAAGATTTGGTACACAAACTAATATGGGGGAGGTTGAGCAGACCTTTTCTTAAATAAACAATTTAATTACTAGTCTATAATGAAGGAAGATTAGTGATGTTTTGAACTGCTGGTATTTAGTATTGTGCTATCACAACTTTGTGTAGCTGTTTATTGTCTTCTTGAACCAAATATGGTGTTCTTCACTTAGTTCTCTACTTTCTTTTATCAATTATGACAAAGTTATTATGTTTGGTTATTTGAATTTTCATGTGGATCATTGATTTAATTGAGCTACCACTGAATCCCTAAATATCATGGCTACTCCCTGATCTAGTGTTCACTCAGGGTTTCAGTGTTATCCACATTAGGCTAATTAATCCCTGTGTCTTAGATCACTGTTGTATTATTTCTGACACCATTTTTCAATCTGAAAATAAAACTGTTAAGAAAACAGATACAAAATTTTGCGGACATCTTAGTCCCTCTTCACTCAATTTTCAGCCAGTTCTTCACAATTTCTAACTAGTGCACATTGTGCTTCCTATAGTCCAGCAGATGTCCCACTCCCTCTAAATATATATATGTATGTATTTTTCTAGATGTGGCTGTCCCCTGTCTGTCTGCTCTGTTTAGTGAAAACTCTCCTTTCCACTGACTGTGTCTCTGGCCTGTCAGACAACAGTATTTGTGAAAAATTTCAGTCAGAATTTCAGGAAACAGCACAGAAACTGCTCTTCTCAGATGTCAAAGGACTGTTCTGCATCATTTGTAGACAAAATAATACAAAGATCTTTGTAGAAGTTTCTGTTCAACATTTTATTAAGATTACTGTTGGCCATATAAGCTCTAATGTGTTCAAAGTACTGATCAAATATTTTACGCATTAAGAGTTTTAGTCACAAAGAAACAAGCTGACAGACAGAGAACAACCAGCTCCAACTTTGTGTGTGTAAAAATGTTAGCTGCAAAACTGAGCGTAAAAAAAGAAATACAAGTGTAACAATGTTCTTCCAGTTGTAGCTGTTTTCTATAGGCACTTCAGAAGTTTCCAGCTTGGCTTGTGCTGTCAGTCGATGGTCAGTGAACCAATAGACAACAGTTGTTCCTGCGCTGTGCTTTAATAGCAGAATCCCTGGTTACAATACAGGCAACAAGACAAATATGTTGAATAAAATAAAACTCCATGGTGAAATAAAGGGTAAACGAGGGGTTATATAGAGTGCAGTTTAACGATAATGTAGTTTTTGAAAAGCAAACCCAAGAATAACACTTACCGAGTTCTTCCCACTGTAAAAGCAACCTAAAAAAGTACAAGAACAGCAGCACAGTAGTGAGTATTTCAGTAAGTAGTTTAATTCACACAGACTTTTGTTATTGCATTCTAACTGATCACATCCAGTCTACAACTCCACCCAAAGTGTGAAGTCTTTCCTCTTCTTAAAGTACAAGACTGGTGTTATTGAATTTTCCCTACTGTCAGCAAATTCCATGAAGAGATTTGTTACGCTATTATATCTGACATAGAAACTGCAGTTTGAAAGGTTGTAACAAAAATCGATGCATTAATACAAATCATCCTATAGCCCTGCTAACATATGGACGTATTGGCTGATGTCCTGGGAAATTGGACTTTATTGGGGAGGTGGAAATCTGTATTTCATGGATTGTAAGTAACAGTAGTTGGAAGCAGTGCTGACACACTGTGGCTGGCAGGGACGGTGTGCCACATAGGTCACCTGAGAGCAAAAGAGAACATCATAGGTGTGGAAAATTGTGCCACTGGTGTTGGAAAGAATGGGATTAAAGGACAAGACAGTGGGAAATGGAGTGTAGGTGGTGGAGTAATCTGCATGGCTTACTTCTGTTGAGTAGTAATGAAGAGGACACAGAAAACACTGGTCTGATGTTGACATTGTGTCCCTAACCAAAAGTGGTGATGGTAATCATATGACAAGAAAACTCATAGTGAACGAAAAACTGAAATATTGCTTGCATGTGAGCCATCATGAGCTTGGCCAGTTGGACAAGGCCACATTCACATGTCATGTTTTCACCATGGGAACCTCATAGGCTGTAACCTGGAACTTGAAGGGCTGTTGTGGACCATTCTACTTTGTTTTCCCACTGTATTTTCCCTGTGTGAGTCTTTGTTTACATCAAACTCAGTTTATCAGCCAAGCATACAAGCAAACAGTGAATGTGTACTGGCTTAAGTTTGTTGCAGCTTGTGGCAGCCAGTAATCTTCTCAGCTGAGCGGATGACACGCTGCAGACTCTGAATGTCCTGTTTGGTTGGTGCATTGTACCAGACAGTGATGGACAATGTGAGGATGGACTCTGTGATGGCAGTGTACAACTGAATCAGCACTAACTGTGGCAGGTTGAGCTTCTTCAGCTGCCTCAGCAAGAACATGCTCTGCTGGACCTGGATGCAAGGGTCAAGGTGAGATGCCCGTTTGTAGTGTGTGGAGCAGGCTGGGCGGTGGCTATATTATTGTGAAGGATCAAGGACAAGCACATAGTCCATGATCAGATAAAAAAAATACATAGCTACAATCCTATGGAGTTCGGTCTGTCTGTCTGTGTGCATGCTTGAGGACTGAGACAAACAGGAGAAAAGGGGACACAGCTGTCTATGTAAGGCCAGAGGAGTTTGTTTTATAGCAAAATGTGATATTTGTTGCTGAAATCAAGGTATAATATCCCCACTAGTTGTGCAGCTAAGTATTTATATTACAAAGGCAGAGTATGTGCAACTGAATCAAAACTGCTGTGGCCATGTTCACCCT